CTTCTGTACATTTTAGATGTTAATTATGGGGCAAATAATTAAACAATTGAGTGTGTCAGGTAACGTGCTTATCCCTGGCAGTACAGATGTAAACACGATGCTCCCTGTCCATTCTAGCAGTGGAAAAAGCACAAAAATGATCAGATATTTAGATATTATAGTAGAGATATGATGGGATTTTCAGCTGTGGCCAACTGGATTTTAAAAAGTAGCCTTATTATAAAATCATGCATATTTACTATGGAAAAATTTTTAAAAAGTACTTATTCTGTAATTTAAGATAAAATACATTTAAGATTTTGTAATGTATCCTTCCAGCGTCTTAAAGCAGAACTTTTGTTTTATTTACTCTTATTATTTTATTACCCTTATTCCTTTCATGTTATGAAATGAGTATATCTGATGTTAAGAACTTAATAGTGGAAGAAATTCTGCTCGGGTTTGGGTATATGTAACACAAATATGCATAACTGAGGGATCATCATGAGTCAGTTTTTCAAACCTAAATTTTAAGAATGATAGAAAATTATAGATTTCCACTGTTAACTTCTATCTTTCATATGTACTATCAGTGTATTTTATGAGTAAACATAAAATTAGTCACATACTTAAATTTATACTAAAAGACCCATATACTTCTAATAAAAATAGATTTAATTAACTATCTTATGGCAACTAAATGGCTTTTCCCAACCTTTCTGCTGGTCCTATACTTCAGTACAGGTTGTGATCACTCAGTTCTCTATTTTTCTATTTCTGTTTCTGCAGTTTTCATTTGACATGGCTCTGATGTCATTTAGACTCCATTTTGCTATGCTTTATCTTTTACGTAAATTCTTTTCAGTTGACTAATAACAATTACAAATCTATTTTGATGGAACTGAAAGTCATTATGTTAAGTAAAATAAGTCAGGCTCAGACAATTGCTGCATGATCTCACTTATATGTGCAATCTAAACAAGCAGATCTTACAGAAGTTAAGAGTAGAATGGTGGTTACTAGAAGCTGGGCTGAGTCAGGGGAGGGAGAGGTGGGGAAAAATGTGGATGCTAAGACAGAGTTAGAAATGAGAAGTTCTGGTGTTCTACAACATAGATGACTATAGATAATATACTATATATTGCTTTTAAAAGCTAGAGGAACAAAATGTTTTCACCATAAAGAAATGGTAAATATTGGATATGCTAAATGATAAATGTTTATTTTGATTAAACATCATACAATGTCTTCACGTATTAAAACATCAAATTATATCTCATAAATAGGTATAGTTTTTTT